CGCCCCGGCCGCCCGCCCCGCAGCCCGCGCTCACTCATCTCCATGTACTCCGGGGTGAGGCCCGCGAAGGGCTCCAGCGTGAAGTCCGCCTCGTACCGCTGCTTCCTCTTCAGGTGCTCGCTCTGGTCGGCGGGGCTCTGGCGCTTCAGCCGCAGGTAGCGGATGAACTTCTTCATCTTCCTGAAAACGCCACGGCCCGGCCCTCAGTCAGGCTGCGGGGCGGGAGTCGGGGGCAAGGGTCCGCACCGGGCGCCGGGCTTCAGACTCCCGGGGCCGTCCCTGGGCCGGGCTGCTCTGCCACGGCCCCCTTTGCCCTTTCCCCAGACGCAGCGTCAAGGGCCATCGTTTTGTTTGCGACATAAGGAAACAGAGGCCCCGGAAGGGCGATGACGGCCCAAGATCACAGGGAGGCCCTGGCCGGTGTGGCTCAGGTCAGAGCGTCGCCCTGTGCACCGAGGCGTCTCGGGTTCGATGCCTGGTCAAGGGCACGCACCTGGGCTGCCGGTTCGATCCCCGGCCCTGGTCGGGCACGGGTGGGAGGCAACCAATCGATGTCTCTCTCTCTGCCTCTCCCCCTCCCTCCCACTCTGAGAAGCAATAGAAAAAATATCCTCGGGTGAAGGTTAACAATAAATAAGAAGATCGATAAAATCACGGGGAGCCCTGAGGGTGCTGGGGGTCTGGCTGCACCTAAGGGACCCTGGGAGAGAGGAAGCCAGTCCCAGGGCCTTGAAGAGGGACCCGGCCGCGGTTCCTGAAGGATGCTGGGAACGGAAGCCCAGCTTCCACCCGCAACCTCAGCACCCGTGGGTGCCCCGCATCCCCAGCCCGTCTGGGAGCCGAGTCACAGGCGCCCTCCCCTCCGCTATGGGGTGGTTACTGCCCTGTCCTCCCCTCTGTCCGCGCCATGTCCCTGTGTCCCCCTGCCCTCGCCCTAACCCCAGACCCCGCGCCCGGCGCCCACCGCCCCTGGCCCCGCGGCACTCACGGGATGCCGATCTCGAAGAGGTTGTTCTGGATGAGCTGCTTGCCCAGCATGATGATGCTGAGCTGGATGCAGAGCTCCATCAGGCAGCCCCCCGGGGCGCACTGCGGGGAGGGCAGCTGTGAGACCCCGCCCCGCCCCGCCCCGCCCGGGACACGGAGGGAACCGTAGCCCCCAGGGAGGGGAGCTCGGCCCTCGCGGGTGGGCCCGATCCCGTCCTCCGCAAAGCCGGGTCCGCGTCCTAACCCCAGAACCTCCGAATGGGGCCTTATTTGGAAACAGGGTCTCTGCAGACGTGACCACATTAAGATGAGGTCACACGGGAGCAGAGTGGGCTCCCGTCCAGTGACTGGTGTCCTTATAAGAAGAGAGACGGACACACCGAGAGGCCGAGCGAAGCCGGAGGCAGAATCCCAGTGACGCGTCCGCATGCGAGGGAGCCCAAGGCTCGCCTGCGGCCCCCAGAAGCTGGGGGAGAGGCCTGGGGGAGCCCGCCCTCCACCTTCGGAAGGACACAGCCCTGCTGACACCTTGATTTTGGACACCTGGCCTCCAGAACCGTGAGAGAATCCCTTTCTGCTGTGCTGAGTCTCCCCGTCTGTGGTACTTCATTCGGCCCCCGGGGAGCCTGTGCCCCTGGCCTGTGGGCTTGGGGCCGGGACCAGGCTCGGGGAGGGAGCACAGGCCAGGGCCAGGCGGGCAGCGCTGGGGCTGGTCTCGGGCTCCCCCTCCTCGCCCACGGCCAGTGCCCTGCCCCTTGCACCTGCTGCCTGCCCACAGGCCCTGCACGGCCCCGCAGGCCGGGGTCCACATAGTTGGGGCGCCACATGGTGAGCCGGCCAGCCACCTCTTCGAGGCCTAATGCCCTGTCCTTAGGGGCTTGTGTGGCCTCAGGCTGGGGGCCGGGCAGGTGTGACGGGTGAGAAGCTTAACTCATCGGAGCAAACAGAACTCAGGGGACACTGGGTGACCCCCTGAGTACAGATGACCCTTCTCTGAGTCCCTGGTAAATCTTTTTATAAGTTTACTTTGCAGAGTCATCATGTCATTAAGAAGATGGTGATGTCCTTGGTTTTATTCTATTCTACAAAGGCACGTCCCCAACTCCTCCAAACACCGAAGAGTTCGAGGGGGCGCCAGCGACGTGAAGGGCGCGTCACAGCCGAGAGCAATGCTGGGCTCTTCCCAAACACCCGACGCTGTGGGTGAGGCCCGGGTCGGGACGTTCAGAGGCTGGCACTCAAGGGGTCGCACCTCTAGGCTGCGCCCCGGGCAACTAGATCGCCCTGTACCTGATGTCCACCCCAACCTTCTCTACCCTGTTTTGCAGGGTCTTTATCAGGGAGACACCCCCCGTTTTCCCAGAAGCCCAGTTATTCTGGGAGTTGAGCTGCTGACCATTTCCCCTGAGACCAGGGTCCCTGGCAGGCTCTGAAGCCTCCACTTGGCCTTTACATTTCAGTGTTAAGTAAGGAGAAGGTAGCTGAGTTTAGTTTTTCCCTCATCTTAACCAAAGAGAAAAACATTCACGGCCTCATAGAAAAAGGGAAAAAATATCGGTGTCGTTTCGTTTCACCAAATATGAAGAGGCTCCTTTTAGGGGAATCCTGTACGGACACCCCTAATGCTGTCAGAGCCAGGCCGCCACCTGGGGGGAGAGGGACCCCCAGGGGAAGGAGGGAAACTGCCGCCTGATAGGGAACCCGCCCCGTGTGCCCAGGGGACAGGAGGGGAATCGGAGCGGAGGGGGCACCGGGGGACGCGAGCATCTCCTTACCTCTTCCATGCGGAACGACCGGAAGATGTACACGTAATCGCCCGGGCGCCCCACGAACCTGTCACGGTTGGGAGGCAGTTAGAGAGCAGGGACCCGGCTTGGGGACCCCAGAGGGAGAGGGGAGCAGAGCGGAGATTCCCGAAGTCACGGCCCCGAGTGTAGACAGAGGCTTCTCCCCGCCTGTTCCATTGGCTAAAAAACAACCCCTGGGGTTTCTGCTGGTCCAGTGCTTGTGTGGCTCCCACACCCACGCGGGGTAAGAAATGTAACAGGACATCAAGTGGCTGGGGGGACAGAAGGAGGGACCCCAGGAGGGGACTAAGGTCAGGCTGCCACCCGCCAGGGCAGGGCCACAGAACCCCCAGGGCCCTGGGTCAGGCGGGGTGGGGTGGTTCCTGGGGCTGCCCCTCAGCCTCCTGTGGGATGTGCGGGCCGAGGGACCCTCGGAGGGGCAGCTCCAGGGGCCTGGACCCCTTGTTGGGGCTCTGGGGCCCCCGGGTGGGAGGAGAGTCCAGGGTCTTGTAAATTACATGATGCCTTGGGAGGGGCTCTGGGGTCAGACCTGCCAGCCCCAGGGGTGGTAGGGAGTCTCAGGGGGGGGCCACAGGCCTCTCCGAGCCCAGGATGACTCCGAGGGTCAGGCATGGGGTTCACCCTGTCACCAGCCTGGGGCATCGAGCTGGGCAACAGCCACACTTCGCGCACCTTCTCCACAGCCCTTGCCCTCAAGTCATTCCGACCCGCTGTGGAAGAACCTGGAGCTCACTGGGGTCCTTGTTATCTGGGGTCCTTGTTATCTGGGGTCCCCACTGCCGAGGGCCCTGCTATCTAGGGTTCCTTCTGTCTGGGGTCCCCACTGCCCAGGGTCCCTGCCCCCTGGGCTCTCTGTTATCCAGGGTTCCTGCTCCCTGGGGTCCCTGCTGTCCAGGGTGCCTGCTGTTTGGGGTCCCTGCTGACCGCGGCCCTACAGGAACCAGCACCCGGCGGCAGTGAGAACCACGCTGACTGCTCTGTCCTGGGCCAAGGTGGCCCCACGGGTAGGACACAGGGAGGGGAGCCCCACGGCACCGGGAGGGCCCGGGGGAAACAGGCTGCGAGGGTCCTACCGGCCCTTGAAGAAAGCCACGTAGAAGATGGGGGTGTAGGAATTGACGAACTTCAGCAGGAAGGCCTTGAAGATGAGCCTCTCCTCGAAGCTCTTCTCGGTCTTCGGGACCTCTGGAAGGGCGAGAGCGGGCCGCTGAGACGCCGGGCTGGCCACGCCCTCGG